ATGGCCCTCCCATAATCCCTTCTTCTCCATTCTCCTCTGAGGATTTTGGGCACACATGAACACACACCTGGTGTATTTTTTCATGCTGCCAGGCGTGTTTTTCATGCTACCAGGTCCAGGACTTGAACCATCGAGTTGGCCATATGGGATCCAGCTTCCCTTACCTCCACACTACCTGCTGGTCCATGTATAGTATACTTTTAAAAACAACTTCATTTAGGTGTAATTGGCATAAAACTGTACATATTTAAGGTGTGAGCTTTGATGAGTTTTGACATGTATGTGCACATTTGAAATAATTACCACACTCTAATTAATGTTTTCTCATAACCTTTTTAAAAATACATTAGGGACCAGTAGTTGGTGTAATGGCTATGTCGCTGGTGTCCCGTGTAGTCAACCACGGTTCAAGTCCTGAACCCTTTGGCTTAAACTCATGCCGGGTACGTGTGCATCGTGCCCAAGATCCTGAGAGGAGAATGGAAGAGAAGGGATTGTGGCATGGCCATCCCCCGGGGAGTGATTTCTCACTTTCTGTCTCTCTGTCACTCTGTCTCTTTCTGGCAAGTGCACACACCCTATAGCAAAAACCTCTCCAAAATAAATAAATAAAAATTAAAAAATAAAATACATTCCTTTCTCTACCGCCATTATGAGCAACCACTGAACTACTGTCATGGTACATTAGTTTGCGTTTCTAAGATTTCCTATAAATGGAATCATAATATGAACTCTGTTTGGACTAGCTTCTTTCACTGGGCATAATGATTTTTGAGGTTTATTCATATTGTTGTATGTCAATAATTCATTCCTTTTTATTGCTTAGTAGTACTTTATTTTATGGGTATATCACAATTTGTTTATCTTCCACTTTTTTTTTTCCTTTTTATGAGAGAGAAAGACAGAGATAGGTATTTTTAACAGGTTCTTGCTGTGTTTCAATTCTTGTTAGGTAGGATTGCAGTCTTGCATAACCCCATGTCTGGTGTGTTCAGGTTGGCCCATGGACTGAACCTGTGCCACCCATGCAGCCTCTAAGCTCTCATGCAGCCTCCACCTTCCCAAGCAAAGGCACCATCTGTGTACTATCATTGCTGGGCCTCCATTTACCTTTTTTGCTTGTTTGTTTTTTTTTTAAGACATTTTTGCCTTAGGGTACATGCACTCACCAGAGAGAGACAAAGAAAGAGACAATGAGAGGAAAAGTAAGAAATTACCCCCTAGGAGAATGGCCACACCCCAATCTCTTCTCTTCCATTTTTCTCCCAGGATCTTGAACATGCGTGCCCAATCTGAGTCTCAAACCACAGGTCCAGGACTTGAACCATGGTTGAACCATGTGGGAGTCCAGAAACATAATCGCTATGCAATCTGCTGGCCCTCTATTTACCTTTTGGTGGATTTTGGATTGTTTCTAGTACATGGATATTAAGTATAGTCTGTTTTGAATAGTATGCACAAATCTTCATATGAACATGTGGTTTAATTTCACTTGGGTAAATTCATAGGATTGGAATGGGTAGATCACATGATAGTATATGTTTAACTTTTTTGGAAAACTGTTACACTGTTACATTGTTTTCAAATGTGGTCATTCCATTTTACATATCTAACAAGAGAATATGAAAGTTCCAGTCATTCTATTTCCATAGGGCGGGCGCCACCACACTCCATAGTCATTCTATTTCCTTAGTAATACTTAGTATGGAAGTCTTTTTAATTTTATGCCTTCCAAAGTTTCATAGTGATTTCTCATTATGTATTAATTTTCATTTCTCTAATGACTTACAATGTGAAAAATTTTTTCAGGTCAACTGTTGCCTATTTTTATATGTTCCTTGGTAAAGTGTATGTTAAAATATTTTGACTATTGTTAATGATTAATTTTTCTCTTATTATTGATTTATAAGAGTTCTTTATAGGTCTTAGATACAAGTCTTTGGTCTGCTATATGTATCACAAATATTATTTCCTGGTCTGAGGTTTACATTTTTGTTCCCAGTGTCCTTCAAACTTTCGACGAAGTCCAAGTTGTTCATTTTATTTCTTGTAAGACTCTTTTCATTGTTGTTGAAATAATTAGTATCTTTGTATAATACATCATGGTTTAAATCTCTTCCCATATATTTTCTCATCTAATTTCTCATCTAATCAAAGTATCATTTTGCCCATTTGACAGAAGTGAAAACTGAGGTACTAAATGCTCTAGAAACTCCCTTGGAGGCAGAATAAAAGGAAACTCAGGCCCTTAAGCACTTTACAAAACTGCTCTCGGGGCAGAATGAGGATTTGAGTTAGAATATTCTGAAGTCATCTAATTTTTGTGCATTTTCTTAGCTGAAGTCATTTAACTTTTGTGCATCTTTTTCATGATACATTAATAAAAGATTCTCCAATATGAAAACATGTTTGTTCTGTGTGTGAAACACTGGAAGCAAACTTAAATAAGTTTGTTTATTGAAGCTTTATTGGAGCATTTTGTGAATTTCCAGAAAGACTATGCAATATGAAATATGTTCCAAAATAACTTGACCTCATAATCTGTTCTTTGTGGAGCATTTCATGAAACAACAGCTTTACAGAATTTGGTGGGGAATAGCTGATATGTGATATATTCATTTTGCCAACACTTATGAGAATTCTAGGAATATCTGCTCTGCTTCAGGTCTGTCACAGGTACTGGCAGATCAAAGATACTGATGAGACATTTTCATATGTCTCAGTAGTACTTAAGACTTTGCTGCTATTGAGGAGCCATCACCATCTTTCCATTCATTCAAGTAAAGTTTACGTGCTCAGTATTGTTGGGTGCTACTCTTTTTCTTCAGGTCCACTGGCATCCTTCACTTTTCCCTGAGATCCTTATTGATAATATCCCAATTAATCTTTGACCTACCCACTTCTTGATACATGTAGCCAGGGTCAAGAAAGTCGTTGGATCAGCCTGTGAATAACTGCTCCTACGAATGTTGCCCCGCCAAAACTCATATAGAACTGAAACCCCCAAGATGACTGCATCTGCAAACACTGGGTCTTTAGGAGTTAATTAAGATGAAAAGAAGTCATTAAAACAAAACATTTAATAGATACAAAAGTGAAAAGTTACCTGTTCATGATAATATATATGATAATGTCTTCGACTTGACTGGTAGGCAC